TTGTGCCCCCCCCCCCTCATTTTGGGGGGGCCCGACGGCCACATGTTAGATATCCCCCCGTGGGAGCCCCAAGAGGCTTCAGGAAGCCCCAGGTGGGGTCCAGGAGGCCACAGGAGGCCCAGGAGGAAGCCCCAGGAGGTCACCAGGAGGTCCCAGGAGGCCCCAGGAGGCCCCGCAACTCGGAGCTCTGAGACGCCGCGCTCGAGGTGGTCCGGCCCGTTTCGCCTGAGACTTCCTCGCAGCACGTTTCGCCCGAGACATCGTCGCAACTCTGGGGTCCGAAATGCCGCGCGCGAGGTGGTCCAGCCCGTTACGCTGGAGACATCCTCGCAACTCTGGGCTCCGAGATGCCCTGCGCGAGGTGGTCCGGCCCATCTCGCCTGAGACATCCTCGCAACTCTGAGCTCTGAGATGCCGTGCGCAAGGTGGTCCGGCCCGTTTCGCACAAGACATTCTCGCAACTCTGAGCTCCCAGATGCCGCGCGCAAGAGGTGGTCCAGCCTGGGGGCCCAGAAGACCACGTGTGGCTCCCAGGAGGCCCCAGAGAGCTTCAGGAGGCCGCAGGACGCCCAGGACAGGCCCCAAGGGTCCGCAGGAGGCTCCCAGGAGGCCCCAGGAGGTCCCCTATCAGAACGTGCCCAGTTAATACACATCCGGTGTCGATTCGTTGATTTTTCCTGCTCTTGTGCCCCCCCCCCTCATTTTGGGGGGCCCCGACGGCCACATGTTAGATATCCCCCCCTGGGAGCCCCAAGAGGCTTCAGGAAGCCCCAGGTGGGGTCCAGGAGGCCACAGGAGGCCCAGGAGGAAGCCCCAGGAGGTCACCAGGAGGTCCCAGGAGGCCCCAGGAGGCCCCCGCAACTCGGAGCTCTGAGACGCCGCGCTCGAGGTGGTCCGGCCCGTTTCGCCTGAGACTTCCTCGCAGCACGTTTCGCCCGAGACATCGTCGCAACTCTGGGGTCCGAAATGCCGCGCGCGAGGTGGTCCAGCCCGTCACGCTGGAGACATCCTCGCAACTCTGGGCTCCGAGATGCCGTTCGGGATGAAGAGGAGGTGGAGGAGGAGGAGGAGGAGGAGGAGGAGGAGGAGGAGCAGGAGGAGGAGGAGGAGGCATGTTTTAACATGCCATGCCAGCCCGCACTGGACGGGCACGCAATCGACCTTTGAAACCGCAGTGGGTCTAAAAACCCTGTTTGGGGATACTGCACTCCGGCTATAATTCTTCCTGGAGTGGACCACGGGGCACCACCGAGGTCGTGACTTAGTCTCAGGACGTGGGTCCATAGCCAATGAGTGAGGCCCCATCGCGATCAGAGAGCTACACGGCTACGGCAGGTTCGTGTCGTGCCGACCCTGGCGGTGGTCCCTGACACCGCGGGAAGCGTTCAAGCTTGAACGATCGGTGGCTTACCAAACGTCCGAACGACCAACATCGACCGATTTTTGGTCCGCCAGCAGCGTTCAACCTTGAACGCCCGCGCTGGGTTCGCCGCTGGTTGACACGACGCGAACATAATCCTCGTCGTCCTCTTCCTCCCTCCTCCTCATCCACCCATTTCTCCCCCCACCCGCTCAATGGAGGAGAAAGGGGCGAGGGCGGAGGGGAGAGATGGGATGAAGAGAGAGAATGGAATGGAAGGGAATGGAATGGAATGCCCATAAGGGGAGTGCACAACTCTGACTGAAATACGAATCAAAGACTTTGGGGAAAAAACCGGGGCAAATGTCCCAAGATCTTCCGCAAACTATCTGGAGGAGGAGGGAGGGGAACATAAGATGAGGAAGAGCAGGGGAGTAGACGGGGCCAAAGGCGTTCACTGCACGGCACCGATGCGTCGTCGACGTCGGAGCGACTAACTTTCAATCGGGTTCCAGCTCGCGCCGCATCGCCGACGCATCGGACACGCATCGGGATGTGCAGCAGCGATGCGTCGCGCCGCCGATGCATCGGCGACGCGGCCCAATCCTCCGACGCCATTTTCCCTGGCCCCCGACCTGGAGGAATTGCCCTCCTCCTCGAAGGCACTGACTGGCATGGAGGAGCAGGGCCCTGATGGAAACGACTCCTTGGGCCCCAGGGGCCACACAAAAAACCTGCACCGGCTCCTCGCTGCAGCCCGAGACGCTCCTGACGCCTCTGGGGCCCGGGGAGGTCCCCAGCGAGCCCGACAGCGACGACACCGCTACAGGACCCCTGACCTCGCTGCATCCCGAGACGCGTCCAACGGCCCAGGGGGCCCAGAGCGGCCACCCCGAGACGCTCCTGGCGGCCCCTGGGGCCCCGGGGAGGTCCCTGGCCAGCCTGGCGTCGGCGGAGACCGCTCTTCAGGGCTCCCTCTCCTCCGGAGGACCCGCCTCGGGCGGCTCGTTGCCCCTGGTCCGCGCGGCGCCGCCGCGCCCCGCCCGCGCCGTCACAGCTGCTTCCCGCCCAGCGCGCCGCCCAGCACCCCGGCGAGGCCGCCGTACACCACGAAGGCAGCCACGGGGGGCGACACACCCGGATGCAGGGGGGGCACAGGCACAGGCCCAGGAGGACGAAGGAGGACGAGGGGAGGAGGAAAGACGGATGCTGAGGGGGGGAGGAGGCAGGGGGAGGAGGACGAGGAGGCTGAGGAATGGGCACGCGGCACGTTGTCGAATCTCGAAACGTCTGAGAGCGCGCCGAGAAACGCGCGACACCGAATCACCTCTCGCGATGCTCGAGCCTTTCCTCTCCTCCTCGCGCGCTGCTGGAATCCACTTCTTCTTATTCCCCTCCTCCTCGTATTCCTCCTCATCCTCCTCGTCCTCCTCGTCCTCCTCCCCATCCTCCTCACCCTCCCCCCGAAGCAGAACCTGTGTAGGCCTGGGCGGTTGTGGTGGTTTCTTTCTAATCGGGTAATAGCCGTTGGCAGGAATCGTTGGTGAGGAGTCCTTAATGGGGAACCCTTCACCCAATAATTTGTCGAGTGTATCTGAACTGGACTTCAAAATGAGAGCCCATTCGCGAGAAATCCTTGCTAAGGGTTCCAGAAGAAGTAATCCTGAGTAAAGAGTGCTGAATAAGGAAATTTGATTCGGGAGTCCTTGTGCTGGGAACCTTCATAAATAATCCTCCATAAAGACTCCACATGAAGGAATCATCCGTAATAACTCATTAGAGAAGGAGTCCCTGATAAGGCATCCTCAATGGGGGCTATGCAATAAGGGCTTATTAATTGTAACAACCTCAGTACGGCATCCTTATGAATATATCCGTAGCAGGGGATCCTTCGTAGGGAATCCTTAGCAATCTTTTGCAAGGGAACCCTGAATAAGGGAACCTGAATAAATAATCCTCCTCTATAAAGGCCATTCGTAAAGAATGTGTAACAAGAGCTCCTCCGTAGGGAAACTTTGAGGAAAAAACCTGACTAGAAAACAGGAATAAGGGATCCATATTGAGGAATCCTTCACCGGAAATCTTTCGTGACGAACCATTGGAAAGAAATAACCTGTAAGGATTTCGGAATGAACACCTCTTAATAAGGAATTAAGTTTAAGATATCCTGAGCAAGGAATGTTTCGTACTGAGTGTTTGTTATGGAAGCCTTCGTAAGGAATCCGAAATGAAGAGTTTGGGGTGATAGATCCTTAGCAAAGAATCAGTGTTGCAGGATCCCTGTTACAAGGCATCCAGCCAACAGGAGAGTTGCATGGCCGAAACGGATAGCGACCGCACCCCCAGCGCACCCCCTGTGGCGTCGAGAAAGTGCCACGCCTGCCACGCTTTGCGAGGCCGAAAAGCATAGCGACCGCACCCCCAGCGCACCCCCTGTGGCATCGACAAAATGCCACGCCTGCCACACGTTGCGAGCCCGAAACGCATAGCGACCGCACCCCCAGCGCACCCCCTGTGGCGTCGAGGAAGTGCCACGCCTGCCACGCTTTGCAATGCCGACACAAATAACTACCGCACCCCCAGCGCACCCCCTGTGGCGTCGAGAAAGTGCCACGCCTGCCACGCTTTGCGAGGCCGAAACGGATAGCGACCGCACCCCCAGCGCACCCCGTGTGGCGTCGAGGAAGTGTCACGCCTGCGACGCTTTGCGACGCCGAAACGGATAGCCACCGCACCCCCAGCGCACCCCCTGTGGCGTCGAGAAATAGGGAATCGAACCCTATACACCGACGTTTTTTCCGGCCCTGCATTGAAACTTGCACTGGAGAGCGGATCCTGGTGTATGCGGGACCCTGGTGTATACATTTTTCGATGCTTCCCCGGGACATCGAGGAAAAAAATATGCACCACACCAGCCCAGCGTCGTCTCCGACCCTCAACAAGTCCTGGGATTGAAAAACAGCCCGGCACTGGCACTGTATATGTGCCAGCTTCCGAAGAAAATCTCACGCCTGCAACGCTTTGCGAGGCCGAAACGGATAGCGACCGCATAGAGAAAGTGCCACTGATGCCACACGTTGCGAGCCCGAAACGCATAGCGACCGCACCCCCAGCGCACCCCCTGTGGCGTCGAGGAAATGCCACGCCTGCCACGCTTCGCGAGGTCGAAACGGACAGCGACCGCACCCCCAGCGCAACCCCTCTGGTGTCGAGAAAGTACCACGCCTGCCACGCTTTGCGAGCACGCAACGCATAGCGACCGCACCCCCGGCGCACCCCCTGTGGCATCGACAATGTGCCGCGCCTGCCACGCTTTGCGATGCCAAAACAGATAGCTACCGCACCCACAGCGCACCCCCTGTGGCGTCAAGAAAGTACCTGCTGTGCTGTGCTGTGCTGTGCTGCGCTGTGCTGCGCTGTGCTGCGCTGTGCTGCGCTGTGCTGCGCAGTGCTGTGTGAGAAAACAACAAAAACCTTCGTCGGGGATCCTCCGTAAAGAAACCTAAGCCGGGATTCCTCGATAAATAATCCCAGCCAAAGAATCATCACGGGATTCCTTCGTAAACGTTCTTGAATACGGGATAGCAACTTGGAAAATCATTCGTAAGGAGTCCTTCGTACCAGAGAACCCTCCGTAAATAGTCATTGGTAAAGAACCCTCACTCGGGAATATGTGGGAAAGATTCCTCGACAAAAAGTCCTTACTAAAGAACCCTTAGGACGGAATAATCAGTAAGGGTTTCCTAGTTTCTTCGTAAGAAGTCATCGGTGGGAATTCCTCCGTGAAAAGAATCACGAATGAGAATATGGCAATGGGAAATAATTCGTAGGGATTCCTCTCCAGGAAATCCTTGATACGGATTCCTCATGAGCAAACACAATTTCTGAGTAAGGAATCCTTTCATAAGTATGGGGTCATTCTCTCAATAATGCGGAATCCTTATGTCGGAAGACTTCGTAGGGAACCCATAGAAAGGGAACCCTTGTTCGAGAATCTATATTGGAGGATCCTCCATACATAATGCTCACTGAGAATGTCTTCCGTCGGAAATGTTTAGTACGGAATCCCCTAGTAGGGAATCCTTCCCGAGGATTCATTACCAAGGAAATCAGGAGCTCTCCACAAGGAGTCCTCAATCCAGCTCTGGCTGGATCCCAGCAGAGCTGGACCCAGCTCTACAAGGTTGTTAGTAGGGATGGGTCCAGCTCGAGAGGAACTTGATTACAGCTGGACCCAGCTGTAGCGGGATTCTATCATAGCTGGATCCAGCTGTACAGGGAATGCCGTAGACCTGGATCCAGTTGTTGAGGGATTGCATGCATGTTCGCGCGCGCCCTCAACGCGCTCTCCACCACAGTTCATGCTTTTTCTCCTCCACCTCCTCCTCCTCCGCAGACGCCTGCAACAACCAAACAAACACAACAAGCCAAACCAACACATGATTGCGGACAGACATCCCTGGGCAATCCTGGGATTTCCCAGAATTCTGATTGCGTTGGCGTGCGATGTGTCGTCGTTGTTTTGTTTGCTTGGTGTGTTTGGATTCTTGCTTGTTCTCAAGCGCGTTAGCCTTGAAGGGCGGGACCAAAAAAATATAACAACAAAAACTGAAGCCGCCCAGGCCTACATCGGGCATGCCGCCCCTCCCCCTCATCCTTCTCCTCCTCCTCCTCCTCCTCCTCCTCCTCCTCCTCCTCCTGCAAATACAAAGAAAAGTCGGTGCACCTAGCCTCCACTATGGACTTCGCCACGCAGTAGACGCCCCAGGACACTATGGATACCTCCACGCAGACGACGACCCGGTAGCCCAGCTGCACGAGCCCCGCCCCGGCGCAAGCTCCCCGGCTAGGCCGCTCCTGCCGCTCGCAGCTCGGCCGCCCTGCCGGCGCCGTCAGCGCCGAGGGCGGTGCGGAGCTGCCGGGCGGTGGCCCTGTGGAGGGCCACGCTGAGCTCCCGGCCCCAGCGGCTCGCCAGCGCGCTCGCGGCGGCCGGCGCGGCTTCCTCGCCGAGGAGGGCCGCCTCCCCGCGGGCGAGCTCCCGGAGGTGCTGGAGGGCGGCGCGCCCGTGCCGGCCGCCCGTCTCCAGGGCGAGGGGCAGCATGCCCCATGGCGCGCGGCCAGGCGGGTAGCGCCGGTGCTTGTCGGCTTCCGCCTCAGCGTTCACCGCGCCGTCGCGCCCTGCCGCGGCGGCAAGGGCGCGCTCGTCACCCGGCACGCAGTAGCGTACGGTGACGTCGAGGAACAGGCGGGGCCGGTCCGCCCGCTGAACCTCGAGGTCGAGGATCGCCTCCTCGCGCTCCGCCTGCAGCGCGGTCCCGCAGGTGCCGCAGGGCGCCGCCGGCTGCTCCGGCGCGTGGCCGCCAGTGTCGCAGGTCGGGCAGCGCCAGCGCCAGCGGTCCCAAGCTGGGACGTGCGTCTGGTGCTCCACCCGGAAGCCGCACTCCGCGTGAATGCGGCTCCAGGCGCGCTCCAGGTCCCCGCTGCGCGCTTTGAGGCCGCCTCCGCGGGCGCAGCGCCAGGCGTGGCGCGCCCGGTCGCCGAGCGGCTCGCCGCAGTGCTGCCCGGCGCGCTGCCCGGTCCGCGCGCGGTTGCAGCAGGTCGCGCCAGGGGGGGCAGCGGCCTGGCCGAGCAGCGTGCGCGCCGTGCTGCAGTAGTCGGCGTCGTCGAGCCGCTGGGCGTCCAGGCCCGGCGAGGCCGTCTGCCAGGCGCCTGCGTGCGGCCCGCCGCAGGAGCGGAAGAGCGCCTTCGCCTCCGGCTCCAGGGTCCTCAGCAAGGTGTCGTGGTTTTTGTGGTCGATCCTTGCGGTGAGGGCCTTTTGGAGCTTTCGCTGCGGCGTCTCCGCCAGCGTCTGCCAGGCGGGAAGTTCGGCCGGCTCCGCGCCCAGGCGAGGCGGCGGCGGCGGCAGCTGCGCGAGCCCGGCCAGCGCGGCGCGGCAGGCGTGAGCGAGGGGCAGGGGGCAGGTGTCGAGGTTGGCCAGGCAGGCGAGCCCCGTGCGTTCCCTCACCCCGCTCAGGTTCTGCGCCCAGGAGCCAGCCCAGGCCGCCGGCGCCAGCTGCCGCTGGCTGCGGAAGCCGCGCCCGCCGAGCCGCAGCGGCAGCCGGCACTGGGTCTGCTCCGGCTCTGTCAGAGGGTCCAGGCGT